CAGGACATCATAATAAATTGGCCACCACCATAGACACCCATAGGCCAAGCCATTCTAATAACAACTCTGGCTCTTTTGCCCATGACTGTAATCACATCTATTTTGTCTCTGGTATTTAAATACTGCCATTTGGCCTCTGCCAATCTGATACTGTAATTCCCGCTGAAATTGAAATTAAGGAACTCATTTTAGGGATAGCTTCCTCCCTCTGTCATCATCCCAATCTATAGAAAGTAACCACTACAGAATTTTCCAAGGATGCTGGTGGAACTTTCCAATAGATATCTCAAACTAGAGAGGGGCTAGTCAACTGAGTCACACAAGGTAGATCTTCAACATTCCTGACTTCATTAAGTCTCTGGAGTCTTTCCTCCATATTATTCCAAAGAATTTCTAACATATATCTGAGTTTAATACAGGCTGCCACTGAGTCCCTATTTCAGTTGAACAACTGAGAAACCAGTAAAGCTGCTCCTCACTGTTGAGTTATGTCCTCAAAATAAGAATTTTTGATAATACATAAGAACTATATCAATAATTTCAGTTTATTCTAAAGAAATGTTTCTCCCTGCCTTAACATCCTGAGAACCTATTCCTACGCCTTCCTGCAAGTGAAAATTAGCCAAATCCTATCATTCTAACTGCCTCCTCCCAGGATAGATTTTGTATTTGTTCTCCTGGGGCATGCTGCAATCTAATTCTCTTTGCAGATCTGATGGCACTGAAAGGGGAGAAGGCAGGCATAAAGAGGATCAGCATCCCTTTGGAAGGTAACTACCTTGGTTGAGGTCATTATAGAATCTCAAGGAACAAAGGACTAATGCCATCTGACAGGGAGGAGAGATTGCTTTTATGAACAGGCATATTCAAAGCAATTTAAAGATTCATGTTCTCAGGTTCATCCAAATCTACCCAAATATCCCCATTCTGTTTCTTTAGGTCCCATCCTTTCATGATCAATGCCACAAATTTCACATAGGAAACCACTGAGACTGTGAACTCAAATTGTAATTCTGCAACCCAAAGGAGCAAACTTTGAATCTTGTTTTAAGGCATTTTAAGTCTGCAGCTATGATATATAAAAGGGTCTCTTGAGGGGTGGTCATAGAAGTTCTCCGCAACTTTTTCCTTGCCCTGAGCCAAGAATTTAAAATAAGAGCAAATACTCTTTCTGTAAGCTCTTCAGTGCAATAGGAAGCAACCCTTCCACTCAAGTTTTCTCTATTTCTCATTTGCACCACAATAGTGCAATGCAGCAGCCAGTCTGTCAAAGGCTTATCTTCAATAGCTATTCTATCCTATGTGGCCATAGGTGATCATTTAGCTATTTGCTTCATGGAAAACAGTATCCCATTTCCCAGTGGTCATGAAGTTACCACTGCCTATAAACAACTAAGTCAGATAACCAATCTCATATTATATTTAAAAGTCAATTTCTTGATCAAATTTTGGTACTGAATACTGCGTTAGGTAAGGTTCATCACATGTAATAGATACCACTCAAGGTATTCAAGCAGAAAATCTTTAATTTAAAAAAGTAGATGCTTACAAAATTATTGGTAACTTGGAGGAATAAGAGTCAGGAGGCTATCCTTAGTCTTTAGCTTCAAATTCATTCAACCACATCTGTTATAAGTGCCATCACCATTAGCACTGTCTGTATTCATAAAATTGATGCCAAGATAGTGGAACATGTAATCCAACTGTTTCCAACACTTTTGTCTGTAGGTGCCCACTTACAAAATTGTGCTACTACAGAAAGGTGACACCCACCTCCTTCAGCCTTTGTAAAATTTCACGAGTGCCTTACATTGACAAAACCTAAATTTACGAGGGGATCACATGGGAATCTGAGAAATATAATTTTTAGTTCCCCAAACTCTGTAATACTGAAGGAGGGGAGAATGAGAACATATCAAAGGGAAAGGAATGGATTCATAGTGCTCATAAACATCTAGTACACTAACCTAAAGATGATGCTTATTTCTGAAGTAGTTAATATTTAGAGTAGACTTGAGGATGTAAACTCCAAATCTCAACCTTAATAATAAAGTAGAAATGTGTTACCCAAATTCATCTGGCTGCTGTTTTTCCTCATGAGTTCCCAAATTACTTTTATTTCTGGAGGAAAGATTAGGTACCACTTTACAAGGGCTGGCAGTAATAATTCAAGCATAACAAAAACAAATGTTGAATAAATACAGCTTTGAAGAGCAGCTTTTATTTTGTGATGTTTTATAACATTTTTACTGAGATCTGAAATCACAATATATTGGAAACCTAACTGTATTACGTACCATTAATAAATCCTAACTATATAATAAGCTTATAAACATTGTAAATGTATTTGATCCCCAGATTTATTAATTAGAACACAAGCCACACTCTCAGGTGAGGTGAGACTGTTGCTAACATAATGCTATCTATCGTACAAGACTCAATCTATCCACCCTCCAATTACCAAATAGCTAGCTAATCATTATTCTTGCAAGACTGGTTCCTAGAACAGCTTCCTCACAGGGAGGAGAAACTCAGTTGAAATATAATGCATCATGAATGACAAAGAAGGGATTTCAACTGGATGCTTTCCTTTTTCTCCATGGCAAATTCAAAGAAAATAAAATTTAACTGAGAAAAGGAACAATCGGACTGGCTTCTCTAAAATCACAGAAAAGGGATTCAGGAATACCTAAAGACTGACAAAGTACATGGAATATGTATATAGACTGATGAAAGTTATTCTTTATAACAATCATATTTAAATTGAGAAATAATTTCAAGATCCTATGTTTTTAGAAATAGCCATATTATCTAAACCTTTCAAGATTTTTTTGTATTTAGGATGGCTTTTAATTTGGACATATTGTGTATAGATGTTCAAAAGCAACATGACCTTCTGATAGTTGCATTATAATTAGATATTAAGTGATGCGTTTCAGTGTGCACTTGTTCCCTCTGAAAGGAGATACTACTTTATGAACACATTCCCTGGGATAACCTCATGTATGAGAATGGAAAAAAAAAAATCAAAATCTAAGTTCAGTTTCTATTTAAGACCAGATGGGTCTCCAGGGAAGAAATGTATGAAGAAAAATTTGCTCATGTATATTGATGCGTAAACATGCTTTATGTGGTAAATTGAAAACGACAAGAAAAAAAGGAAAAGGAAAAAACAACAGCCTAATTAAAAGAAAAAGAAGAAAGTTTAATTTCTCAAAGGAAACAGCAAAACCTACATTTCTAAGTCTGAAAAAACACCAAGAGGTGACTCATAGCATCCCCATTAATCATCTAAAGACAGCTCTGGATCCTCTTCTGCTAAGTCACAAGGCTCTTCCAGTGATACATTCTAAAATCTTACAGTCTTCGTGTGGCAGTGGTTCTACATATCAATTATTTTAAATTTAGGTTTCTTAATCTTCTCCAGTGTTCACAGCCTGCTATGAAAACAAATTCAAAAGGATCTGTGCCTTTCAATTCACAGCTGTGCCTTCCCCTCTGTAATTTATAGGCAAACTAACTTCTAACACTTATATGATGTGTAGTATTTTGAAACAAAAATATTAGGTTGGTACAAAAAGACTACTACAAAAAAAGGAATCCATTTCTACTTCTCTTCCTTTTCACAAATATTCTTGTCATTCACAAGTTATCTGCCTAAAATACAAAAGACTAAGCATGGATTCTAAATTACACCACTCACAAGCACTTGCTTTCTAAGGTCACTTGCCAAAATTACTTGCACGCTGAGTGGCAGGTGACCAATCTCCTTCAGCAGGTTTTATGATTACTGCTCAGATACTGTGTGCCTGTGTACACAGCTCAGTATCACAGTCTCTCACCTCTGCTGCCCTATTTACCATCCAGAAAGACGCTGAAATCTGCCATCCAGGTCCATGCTGAGCAGGCCAGCCAGCACACAGCCTGGAGAGCTGCAGCTGTTTTTTTCTTAGTAAGCACAGTGTTATGAGTACAGCTGGCTGAGATTATGGCTATAACAAGGAAAGAACTGGGAGAGTGTGAACTCTCCAGTGTGGTGTCTCATTCTGAAGGTGACAGAGATTCAAAAGTTCTGCTCCAATAGTCAATATATAGCATCTGACTCGTATTGTCAAATAGATAATACAACAAAAATCACTTATACCTCTATGTTCTTTCTTATTTACAGGGTAGCTGAGTTGCATATATGAAACAAGCCTGTAAACTAAAATATTCCTAATAAACTAAAAACACGGCTAGATTCCATGTTCTAAAGTACAAACATAATGATCCATGTTAAAATACTTTTGAATACCTTGAAAGGATGCATAACAAAAGAGAGAAAGAGAATGAATTAATAATATTAAAACTAAAACTAGTCATCAGTTAGTTTCCACCAGCATAGCAATCAAGAGTAACAGACTTGGGAGGCCAAGGCAGGAGGATTGCTTAAGGCGAGTTCAAGACCAGCCTGGGTAACGTAGTGAAATCGCATTTCTACCAAAAAAAAAAAAAAAAAAAAAAAAAGGAAAAAGTAACAAAGGAAAGAGAAAGAGCTACAGTCATCTATTATAGAGGAAAACTCACGTCTCAGGTATTTCTAGTTATTGTAAGTATTCAACAAATTCCCTGTCTTCTATGTAAGAAAATGTTACTTTAGTTAGTGATAAAGTTTTACCGAGTAGGAGACACAAACTTTATTCATCAGTTTTTAGGTAGCAGGCATGCAACATATCTGTGATAATAGATAAATTATGAAAGCTATTGGAAAAGGCTGTATTTATGACATCTTAAAACCATCTTCTATAAAGAAACTTACAGTCAGAACTGAATGATTTAAATGGAATACAAGAACTTCCCCATTTATGTTAAGAATAATTTAGAAGAAAATGGTATGTTTTATGTCTGAATGAAAAGCTCTTCCAAGGTTCTGGGTTCCAGCTGGGAGGGGGGGCGGGGGGGATGGGGTTAGGGGTTGCAAGGGCCTCATTTTTCCTTACTGCCCCCTTCCGGTTCGGGAAGGTGGGGGGACCTTGGCGGTGCCCGGAGCCGGCGTGGCGCTCATCGAGGGACGCCCGGCCCAAGTGGCTGGGGCCAGGCCGCAGAGCGGAGTTGGCATTTCCAGATTTGGGCTCGGGCCGCGCCTCCTCCGGGACCCTCCCCTTGGACCGAGCTGATCGCCGCGGGGCAGTTCGGGCCGGCTGTCCTGGCGCGGAATTTCCCAAATTCAACAAATCTTCCAAGAAATCCATCCATGGCAGATTATGAAGCACGGATCATTACTTTTGGGACATGGATATACTCAGTTAACAAGGAGCAGCTTGCAAGAGTTGGATTTTATGCTTTAGGTGAAGGTGATAAAGTAAAGTGCTTTCACTGTGGAGGAGGGCTAACTGATTGGAAGCCCAGTGAAGACCCTTGGGAGCAACATGCTAAATGGTATCCAGGGTGTAAATATCTGTTAGAACAGAAGGGACAAGAATATATAAACAATATTCATTTAACCCATTCACTTGAGGAGTGTCTGGTAAGAACTACTGAGAAAACACCATCACTAACTAGAAGAATTGATGATACCATCTTCCAAAATCCTATGGTACAAGAAGCTATACGAATGGGGTTCAGTTTCAAGGACATTAAGAAAATAATGGAGGAAAAGATTCAGATATCTGGGAGCAACTATAAATCACTTGAGGTTCTGGTTGCAGATCTAGTGAATGCTCAGAAAGACAGTACGCAAGATGAGTCAAGTCAGACTTCATTACAGAAAGACATTAGTACTGAAGAGCAGCTAAGGCGCCTGCAAGAGGAGAAGCTTTGCAAAATCTGTATGGATAGAAATACTGCTATCGTTTTTGTTCCTTGTGGACATCTAGTCACTTGTAAACAATGTGCTGAAGCAGTTGACAAGTGTCCCATGTGCTACACAGTCATTACTTTCAAGCAAAAAATTTTTATGTCTTAATCTAACTCTGTAGTAGGGATGTTATGTTCTTCTTATTACCCTGATTGAATGTGTGATGTGAACTGACTTTTAAGTAATCAGGATTGAATTCCATTAGCATTTGCTACCAAGTAGAAAAAAAATGTACATGGCAGTGTTTTAGTTGGCAATATAATCTTTGAATTTCTGGATTTTTCAGGGTATTAGCTGTATTATTTATCCAACTTTTTTTACTGTTATCTAATTGAAACCCTAGACTAAGAAGCATCATATTATAACTGAACACAATGTGTATTCATCGTATACTGACTTAATTTCTAAGTGTAAGTGAATTAATCATCTGGATTTTTTATTCTTTTCAGATAGGCTTAACAAATGGAGCTTTCTGTATATAAATGTGGAGATTAGAGTTAATCTCCCCAATCACATAATTTGTTTTGTGTGAAAAAGGAATAATTGTTCCATGCTGGTGGAAAGATAGAGATTATTTTTAGAGGTTGGTTGTTGTGTTTTAGGATTCTGTCCATTTTCTTTTAAAATTATAAACACGTACTTGTGCGAATAATTTTTTAAAAGTGATTTGCCATTTTTGAAAGGGTATTTAATGATAGAATACTATCAAGCCAAGATGTACTGACATGGAAAGATGTGAAAGATATATTAAGTGTAAAATGCAAGTGGCAAAACACTATGTATAGTCTGAGGCAATCAAAGTATGTATGTTTCTTATATGTATAGAACAAAAGATTTGGAAAGATAGACACCAAAAAAAAAAAAAAAAAAAAAAAAAGAAAAGCTCTTCCAAAAGCAACTAATTTTTAAAGTAAAAATATGCTACTATAGAAAATAAGCGTTTAACCAGAAATTGTAGATACCCAAGTTCTAGTTTGATTGTTTTTCTACATAGGAAATTGCAGCAGAAAACAATTTAGAATTAACTAAATCAAATAAACATCTAGCAGACAGTTTACATTATAATAAACTGATTAACAAAAAAAATCATTTTTTCCACAGCAGAAGTATATTTATTGTGCTGAAATCAGGTAGCAAGGAATGAATAGTTTCTTGGGAACCAGCACAGAATGTTCACAAAGATTTACAAATCTCTAGTCATTACACACTGAGCAACAAAACAAAGGTGTTGAATCCTCTTAGATCAAACTACTTTATATGTTGCAAATTTTCTGTAATTCTCATGACTGCATGCCTTTGGGGAAAAAGTGTTTAATTTTAATGCACAATAAATATGTTATAGCTTACAAAATATTCTGAAATAATTTGTACAAACAGCATACATCCTTCACATGCAGCTTTGACATGTTGTTGATACTTAGAGATATTCATGCTTTTTTTGGTCACATTTTGTCTTTCTCTAGTAATCCCTTTGCAACATCCCTTAAAAAATTAACCTATGTAGTAAGACATGGTACAAATTCTTTCCTATTTTATTTCCAGTTGTTCACTTATATTACATGAAATACTTCATCTGTAAATAGCAAATTGAATGTCATAGTTCTGACTACTCTCACTTTTATTCATTTTGTGTTTTAACAACACCTTGTAACATTAAGCACTGAATTTAACAATCTTTAGCACCAAGGAGTCAAGAATATTGCACCAAAATGGGTTTATACTTCATACCTAGTTAATAAATAAGATCTTGCAACTTAGTCACAAAGAAAATGTTACTCCAAAATTAAACACATTGAAAGAGAAGAATAGTTTCACAGAAATGTTTCGTGTATGCTATTTGTCATAAAAGCAAAAAACAACACTAGTGGATTTGAAAGTTAATATTAAAATTTACATTAGAAGACTCCTTGATTTTTTAATTAAAATTTATTTAATTTTAAATGTTCTTTCCAACAGAAGAGGTAGGTATATTTCCACATATGAAAAATCAGTAACAGCCATAAATCAAAACAAGGAAAGCCTGATAAAAATCAACATATTCTAACAGCACATAAATGTAACTATCTTATGATGTTACTAATAAACACGAGTTGTTTCATGTTTCAAACAGACAATAATTTTAATTTTCATATATTTCAGCTAGTAACAGGAGTATTCAAATGCTGCCTTTTCATCACAAAAAATTGTTTCCCCACAGTGATTTGTGCGAGTCATGGTGATCTCTGAGTCACCAGACAAGACTTTACTGCAATTCTTTCTTATTTTCACCAACACCATCATCATCAAGCCTCTAAGATTCTACAGAGATCAGATTTTAAAAATTTAATTACAACCAAAAGTATAGTCTGACTAGAGGTGGAGAGATTTGACCATTCTGGTCAGCAAATGAATTCAAATGTGCAAGTTTAAATGTATACACATTTCCAGCTTTGGACAAGAAAACGTAACACCACTGATTTCAGTCAGTAGATAATTAGTAATTTGTCAAAATAATTCATAAAGACTGTTTCTGTGATCGTCTAAAATTCAGACCGAAGAATGAATGACTGTAAGATACACATGCAAAATCTCATCCTGTAGACAACTGGATGATGTGAACAGGGGGAGAATCTCCAAAGTCACATAATGATTGCTTTGGTCTGCAGAATATCAAGGCTAATTTTAAAAAAAATGTTTAAAATAAAAACTTCATAAATAAAACATCTGGGTATGGTATTAACACTTTACTCGGTCTAAGAGTTACTAGGACATGAGCACATTTGTCTTTTCTCCCCACCCCCAAGCTCTCCTTTGCTTCTGTTTTCCCTGAAATTTTATATGATATGGGAGTTTTTCCTCACTGTCAACAACAGTTAAGGCCCAGTTCAATTTAATCTCCTTTTGCTTTTCCATTTTTCTGCTTTTTTCCATTTTCTATCACGAGTTGTTTTTCTGATTTGCTCACACCATTTGCTGAAATACCATTCATGGCTGTTTTTCCAGTTTTTGGTTTCTTAGGCTCTTTGTATGTCCGAATGTAGAAGTTAAGAAAGAGAAATATGAAGCTGATTGCGTAGGCAATTAGAGCCCAGTGCATCCATTTGGGGAAGGGGCAGTCAGTGTAAAGAGACAGTGCTGTGTGCCCAATGGTCACATGGAACTGAACCTGAAAAACAGAAATGACAGCACAAAACATTTAATCTGAATTGTAAACAACTTTGAACAACATCAGCATCTTCTACATAGCTATCACAGGCCCAAATTTTGCCACACTGTGCAAAATTTATTGTTTTCTGGCTCCCATGGCTAGCTCTTTCTCATTCACAGCTCAAATGCCATCTCCTCAGTAAGGCCTTTCTGACAAGACTTCAATTTCAATTGGCACTCCCAATCCCATTAACTAAAGAGCTTTTTGCATTTTTTTAAAGGAGAATTATAACTATTTGAAATTGTCTTTTGTATTTGTTATTTCTTTATTGCCTATCTTTCCACCAGAATATGACTCCAGAAGGCAGGGCTTTGTCTTGCCCATCAGTGATTCTTGAGTCCTCAGTACAGCACCAGGATCAAGGAACATGTGTTGAATAATGTTATCTGATGAAAGGGAATCCATGGCCTAGGAGAGTAAAATAATAGTATTGTAGGCTCTTCAATTTTGTTTTCCTCCCACATTTTAGATTGGTTTCCATCAAATACCAAAATAGCTCATTTATTTCTTACAGATAGTAGGCAGGTAAATTTTTATTTGAATGAACACTATATTTCAAAAACTAATATTTTGATGGCCGGATGTGATGACTTACGCCTGTAATCCTGGCACTTTGGGAGGCCGAGGCAGGTGGATCAACTGAGGTCAGGAGTTCAAGACCAGCCTGGCCAACATGGTAAAACCCTGTTTCTACTAAAATATAAAAAATTAGCCAGGCGTGGTGGTCTATGCCTGTAATCCCAGTTACTCGGGAGGCTGAAGCAGGAGAATCGCTTGAACCCAGGAGGCAGAAGCTGCAGTGAGCCCAGATTGCACCATTGCACTCCAGCTTGGGCAGTAAGAGCAAAAAACTGTCCCCCCAACCCCACCAAAAAAAATAAAAAGATAAAAGCAATATTTGGATAAAATTTAGTAGATATTTCAGAATAAATACAAAAAGAATCACTTTCAACTTTAAAAATTTTTTAAAGGAAAAAAGCCAAAAGTCAGATGATTAAAATGAAATAGATTCTGATGTATCAATAAATGAATGGGTCAAGACATAATGTTAACAAGGGTTAATTTTTTATACAATTAACTTATATGACTAACTGTTGTGAGAACTTCTGGCTTGGAAATACAAATTCAACATCCTGTTTGAAATGGACAGTTGTGGTTCTCTTTTCAGGACAGCATTGTCCTTAAAATATTAATTGTTGATTACAACAATCAGTATTATTTTAAATATTATTAAAATAATGTATGCCATGTAAGCTAAAAATTTATACCATATTAAACAACTTTTACAATTTTCCTTGGCAAATATTTAAATTTGAAGAACTTTTGGTTTCACAATGGTTTTCAGAAGCTGCATCACCCAAAAGGGTGTGTATAAGGGTGTGATTGGGTATGGCGTCACTCAAGGAGAGGCAGGTGTAGGCTCCAACAAAACAGATAGGACTAATTCACACGATTTTGATCACCTCTTCATTTTCCTGGGTCCATTTACTACTTACTGAGAGAAATGAATTACACAAACTGTGTTAACAGCTTTTACACAAACACTGGAGGCAGCTTCCTGTGCCACTTTGGTTACAAATGAATCCTTCACACCCAGCATTTCCCAAAAGTTGTGCTTCCTGTTTGGTTAGCCAGCTGTTTAGCAACTTAAAGCAGAGATGAATAATATTTCCAAATGCGATTCCACTGATAAAATTGTGCACATGCTATGATTAAAGCAAATTATAATAAATTCTAAAGCTTGAAAAATAGTTACCAAGTTGGCTTTGAATTTCCAGTTTGATTACAGGCCAATGTCTAGCATCTGAAAGATACACTAATGCACACACTCAGATTGCCACAAGCAGTCTTACTAGGGGGATGTGCTGAAAACTGGACTGAAGACTACCATTTGAAAATATCTGTCTCTGCTCTCTTAAGGACAGTGTTTTAGAGAATTACAAGGAGTTCTCTTGTCCCTATTCCCTTCCTTTGCCCCACCCCTTCCTTGGCTATGTGCTTTCTTTTCAGCTGTATAGTCTAAATAT